CCTGTCCGGTCGGGATGGCAGGCCGGTTAATGGGATTTTTTCATCACGTCCCGTTTTTCCCCGTGCGGTCAAAAAGGCTCGGGCTGGGGGGCTTTTGGTAGGATATATCCCGACCGTTATGCCACGTTTTTTTTTTTTTTTTTTTTGTTATTTATGCAGGTTTACAGGTCGGACATTTCTAAAGGAATCCGGTCGGATCCGACCGGCATGTCTCCTGACCGATGTCTTCGACACCCGATGGATGGCCCTTGAACGAGAGATCCGAGAAGAAGCACGTGGCAACGTTACCCGCTGACAGGCAGGGCTCGCGGGGTGAAGACACGTGGCTGCTACGTGGGTTACATGCCGGCCGGCCAGAATTGTGTCTCCGGCCTAGCGGCTATAAATGCCCACGGCGGTTGTAGCGGGGGGGGGGGGGGGGGGGGGGGGGACTTTTGGAACGATCGATAGGCTATTGACAGAGCAGCCCGACCGCAGTCAATCGGCTCTCGGAATAGCTATTTTAGATTGTATTAGGTCCTTCACCCGATCAATAAAGACTTTACTTGCTTTTGACTTGACCGTGTTGACTTCTTTGACCGCATTACATTGAATTTACACTATCATGTGTTTTTTATCAGAAACGCAAGTCCTAATGTTTTTTTTTTTTTTTTTTTTTTTTTTTTTTTTTTTTTAGAATTGTCCCAAATTAAAAAGTATCTCATTTTTTCCAATACTTTCAAAAATTGTCTATTTCAGGCAATTCCTATAGCATTAAGATTATCACACCAAAGATGTGGTTTATTATTATTATTATTTTTTTTTTGATTCAGATCCAAAGATGTGGTTTATGAGTAACAGAAATGCATCTACTCAGAGACGGAACTAGTGTGGGGGCTGCCCCCCACCCAACCCCTTTATATATATATATATATATATATATATATATATATATATATATATATATATATATATATATAGCATTCGATATTATATAAAATAAATATTTATGTTTAAGTTGCTAATTGTTTGAGTAGCTTAGTTAGTTGAACTTTTTTTTTTTTTTTACTTTAAGAAAGTGTATGGTCATAGGTTCAAATCTCATTAACAACATTTTTCTTATTTTCACTTGTTTATTTTATCTCTTTCCTTCCTTCCCAAGATAAATATTTTTTTGTCTACTTTCATTCTTTTCCAAGATAAATATTTTTTAGTCTACTTTCATTCCTTCCCAAGATAAATATTTTTTAGTGTACTTTCATTCCTTCCCAAGAAAAACTTAAATTAAAGTTGATTTAACTAAAAAAAATTAAATTAAGACGTATTTATGAATTGTCACCCCACTCAAGCATATTTTTAGCTCCGACTCTAACTATCGTGTAATATATCAAAAACATTCTATTGTAATTTATAATGTATTTTGCATTTTAACCCTATTATGAGTGTTTGATATTTTGTAATTAATATTTTTAACGTTATTTTTCGCCTCCACTCACAAAATTCTCTAGCTCCGTCCCTGCATCTACTTGTATTAAGGATTGTGCAACAGATTCCCGTTTTCTAGTGACCCATGAAACCAAATTAGTGCCAATATATTTTCCAAAAAATGACTATAGTGGATTTTCTATAATCAGGAGAGCCAACCCAATTAAACTAGGCAAATTATTATGTGGACCTGAATCCACCTTGTAAGGTGGACTCAGATCCAAATATACATAATTTATATACTGAATGTTCACAATTTATATACGGAATATTTACAATTTAAATATTGAATGTTCACAATTTACATACTGAATGTTCACAATTTACATACTGAATGTTCACAATTTTATATACTGAATGTTCACAATTTACATACTGAATATTTACAATTTACATATTGAATGTTCACAATTTAAATATTGAATGTTCACAATTTACATACTGAATGTTCACAATTTTATATACTGAATGTTCACAATTTACATACTGAATGTTCACAATTTACATACTGAATGTTCACAATTCAAATTATAAACATTCAGCATATAAATTGTGTATTTTGACCTAGGTCCACCTTGCAAGGTAGAACAAACCAAAGACCATTGAAATTGCAGGCACATAATAAGTTTGTGCCATTTTGGATCAGGGTTTACGATGTAAGGTGGACCGTGGTCCATCGTATAATTTGCCAAACATCCCGATTCCAGACAACAACATAGATGATATATTGTTATACCATGAATCATGGTTCATATTGCATTGTGAACCTTGATATACAAATTCTATACTAAGTTAACACATCTTGTACCTACAGTTAACATTTCTGTACATGTAAACAAATAACTTGATAATTGGTGACACATAATATGATAGTTACATGTACAGAAACTATCAATTGCAGTTACAAAATGTATCAACTATAGATACAGAATCTGACTTGATAATTGCTGACACTAATATGATAGCTACATGTACAAAAACTGTCAACTGCAGGTACAAGGCGTATCAACTATATAGATACAAAATTTGAAGGTTATTTTTGGACCAGAATTTATAATGCAAGGTAGACCCCGGTCCATAGTATAATTTGCAATAGATGATGGTCCAAATGTAGTGGACTAGTCGAAGAGCCTATTTTAACCCATATACAAATTTCTGGAGCTTGCAAACATAAGTCCAATAGGAAGTATGAATATAGATTTTTCAGTTAAAGTTCCATTCTCAAAAGCATTATCAATGTCTAGCTGCCAAATATCTCATCCTCTAGATACCACCGGATTGAGAGTTTCTAATACAATTCTTGAAAAACAATAAAAATAAACAAGTCATAAACCAATTGTGTTTTGGATTTGTTGATTAGCTTGGAAATATAAATTTGCACTAATGATCCAACCGTTATATCCTGAACCCAGCAATACAGATTCATTTTTACTTTTTTAGTATATTGCAAATTCATTTTTAATGTACTACAAATTCATAACAGCTTGAAGACCAGTCCTGCAAAGTAAGAATAACTATAAATATAATAAGATTTATGATTTATAATATGCTATTTTATCCAAACAATTTTAACTATTTTAAAATCATGTTTTATTAAGATTTTTAACTTCGCATCTCTTTGTAAGTGTTGTTTTATAAATTTTTAATAATAATTAATTTATTATTTATTATGATAACAATATTATTGTTTATAAATATATTTTTTGAATATTATTGATTTTATTATAAGACGGTATATTTTACTCTTTATAAGCTTATTTGATTTTAAATTGTTTATTCATTTTTATAAACACCTCCCTAAATCGACAACACCTCCCAAGAAGAAGAAGCAATTTCAAGTGACAAATAAATATAACACCCGATACAATTTAAGTCTAAATTTTGTGACAATAATGATGACACAATTAATAATGACGGATAGATGATTATCTTTACTTTTGCTAGTTTTGGTTGGAAGGACCACTAGATTGTGATTTTTGTTTTTTTTTTTTTTACTACTTTGATGGTTACGTTGTGATTGTGAAAGTTACATTGTTAATGTGAACAACTCTTGTTGGAATATACCTTCTTTTTTTTTTTTTTTTTTTTTTTTATTAGTGACCTTGGTTCTTAATAGCAGCGTGCTTGTGCTTGGTTATTAACATGCAACATACCATTTCATACAATTCGTTTCAACATAGCAGTTTCATACAACTGTCTACAAATTAAAAGTTACAATCTTTGAACTAAATAAAGGTTCCATTGTTGACCAACTTACCGTTTCATACATAATTGTTCAAAATAAAGGTTACAATGTTTGAACTAAAAACTTAAAATAATTGTTAACCAACTTACCATTTCATAATATGAACTAAAAACTTACAATAATTGTTCAAAATATCACCTTTGAACTTTACATATTGAAATACATGACATATGTTGAGGGTATTAAAATAAAATGTACATTATAACATAAATATTAACTTTTTTTTTTGTCAGACCACAAGGTGTCCTAAGTAGACCCTGACGGTAGGAGGCACCTTTAAGCCCGTTTGCACCGGGCCGCCCCAATTAAGGGGTAAAGTATTGATTAGGTTTATTTTTCCATACGAGAGGGTTTAAGCCCGTTCGCACCGGGCCCACCCAATTAAAGGGCATAATGCTGATCAGGTTGATTTTTCAATACGAGAGGGAGTTTGAACTCCTGACATCTCTTAAGAGACAAGAGTGCATTTCAATAGTCTAATCAACCAATCGCCTCACCCATCAAGTACTCAAAATTGTAGCTGAGTCAAAGCAACCTGCCTGAATAACTCCTCCAGTCTTCCGATCCATCAGAATCAATTTGTAATTCAACTACAATCCAATTTGTTACGAAACACAATTACATTGTTTGATTGGAAGAAATTGTACACAAAATTGTAATTCTCTCCATTTGTGAAATTGAAGTTCATAGAACTCCCCTATGAATTCTAATTCGATAGAGAAAATTTCAATTTTGGTCACATGACTATAGGGGCATTGTTAATTTCAACATTTGACTTTTAAAAGTGTCAATTTAGTACCTTGACTATGTAATTTTTGTCAATTTTGGTCACTTTGGCCAAATTGACGGTCAAATTTGACCGGAAAAATTTAATCTAACATTTAGTCTAGAAAGGATCAAAAGACGATTTTGCCCCTCAGATTATATACTAAATGTTTGATTAAATTTTTCCGGCCAAATTTGACCGTCAATTCGGCTGGAGTGTCCAAAATTGACAAAAATTACATAGTCAAGGCACTAAATTGACACTTTTAAAAGTCAGGTGCTGAAATTAACAATGCCCCTATAGTCATGTGACCAAAATTGAAATTTTTCTCTAATTTGATAGTAAATGAAAAAAATAATAAAATTACAGCATTACCTTTGATGACTATTATTATTAAGAACATTTTAGTATTTTCCTTCAAATTTCCAGAAATTCTATTAAACCTAAATTAATTTGAATTTCTACATTTCTTCCAACCACGTCCTCTCAACACGTATGAAGTATGATTCTACACGGTGATAGACTCTTCCCATTTCTTCATCAATAAGTTATGTCGTCAAAGTCTTCTTCGTAGTTTGAATTTTAGTCGAAATACTTTGCAGAGAATTGAAGCTTATAATTATTTTTGATTCGTTTTTCCAACGTGAACGTGAAGGGGGATCGGAGCTTCTAGTTAAGGATGGACTATTTCGCACACTTGCCGGAAGGCTGCATATCCGAAATCCTTTCGTTGACGTCGCCGGAAGATACCGCGAGATTATCGGCGACGTCGAAGGGGTTCAAGGCGGCGGCCGAATCGGACTCTGTTTGGAACAGATTTCTTCCGCCAGATCTCACCGATATCATCTCAAGATCGGCGTCTCCGGTGGTGTATTCCAACAAGAAAGAGCTTTACTTCACCCTCTGCAACTCTCCCATTCTCCTTGACGACGGAGCCAAATTGGTGCGCCCAACGACGGGGCCAGGACATTATTTGAGTGGAGGCGAAAGAGTAAAGGTAAATTAAATTTAAAAAGTTTAAATATAAAATATCAAATATGAATAAGATTGTTAAGTATAAAATACATTATAAATTACAATACATGATATTCATATATACTTTTCGATTGTCCTGTTCTTCAAACAGAGCTTTTCACTTGATCGAAGGAGTGGGAAGAAGTGCTTTATGATTGCAGCAAGACAACTAGATATTATATGGGGAAACGAAGACCATTGCTGCCAATGGGCATCTCTCGCCGACTCCAGGTAGGTTTTCCCCGTCCCATTGTTTCATTTGTTAGATAATATAATGCTACTGAATATAATCTACGAGAAATGTAACATCGTAGCAGTGATTAGTGTTTACTCTCATACCATCTCCAACTTAAAACATCAAATTTTACACTAAAAGAATATTCACAGCATATTTTTACACCAAATTTTTTTCATCTCCAACCCATTTACACTAACTTTTATTCCTAAACTAAAATAATGTATATTCTCATAAATTAAAAGTTTATATTTATACTTTTATATTTTAATATAACATATAATAACATATAGTTGTAATTTAATAAATTCCAACCGTCTTGTTTTAGTAGTTTTGATGAAAATTTTCAAATTATATAATTTATTTTTAATAATATACCAGTTTAAAAATTTGACAAAATATGTAAATATATATGTTTAAAAAAAACAAAAAAGATACAAAAGAAATTATATATATAAAAAAAAAAAATCAACAACAAAACAGGGCCAAATGGAAAACAAACTGTGACACAAAAAGAAACATCAATTTGTCAATACGGCGTTGATTGGAGCTCTCCTGCGCCATTTTTATTTTTTTGTCAATTTGGTGTTTTGACGGGTTAGTTAGAAATGTCTTAGAAATAACGTTAGGTAGTATATTCTTCTCAAATCCCAAACCTTAAGGGCCCTTCACACCCCGGTCCGATAAAGTATTTACGTTAATTAGTATATTGGTATTATTAGGAGCGTTATGCTGTGCATATGCAAAAACAACATCGCTTTGGCGTCTAACTTAAAAAAAAAAAATCAGAATTACATAACTACACATCCATAATTTCACTACACTTCCAGAATTGCATAACTACACTTCCAGAATTGCAAAATTACACTTCCAGAATTGCAAAACTACACTTCCAGAATTGCATAACTACACTTCCAGAATTGCAAAACTACACTTCCAGAATTACATAACTACACTTCCAGAATTGCACAACTACACTTCCAGAATTGCAAAACTACACTTCCAGAATTACATAACTACACTTCCAGAATTGCATAACTACGCTTCCAGAATTGCAAAACTACACTTCCAGAATTACATAACTACACTTCCAGAATTGCATAACTACACTTCCAAAATTGCAAAACTACACTTCCATAACTTTATAACTACACATCCATAATTGCATAACTACACTTCCAGAATTTCATAACTAAAAAATCCAAAATGAATGAACCAAAAATGAATAACATAATATTGTTGCTGAAATCGAAACTGATTTTTTTTAAGTAGGGCGCGCGTTTTATGCAAAACGACGTCATTTTTGCATCCGTATGCACCATGCAAGGTACATACGGATGCACAGCATAATTTGCCATATTATTAGTAGTATGAGTTCCATAATTTAAGATGCATGTATAAAAACAAACTTAATCATGCAATTCAACCAAACTACACTTAAACTACATAATTAAGGCCTTAATTAAATTAAGCATATCTTCTTCTTCTTTTTCAATCTTTGTATGCTGAGTTAATACCCAAAATGGTCTCCAACTATAGTAATTTTTCCTAATTTTGTCCTAAACAACTTTGGTGACCTAAAATAGTCCCAGACTTTTGTGTTTTGCTCAATTTAGTCATCTGTTTGCTATTCCGTCAAATTGGTCTTAAATAAATGGAAAATTCAATAATATCACTATTGACATTTCTTTACTTTCAACCTGCGAAGTGAGAAATCCCTCTTTCTTATACGAATTACACCCAGAATTACTCTTAGACCTAGGAATTAAATTTTATATTCACAGGTTTAGGAGTGATTCTGGGAGTAATTCGTAAAAAAAAAAGAAAGATTTCGCACTTCACATGTCTATGAGTAAAGAGATGACAATATTAAAATAACTGAATTGTCTATTTATTTAACAACAAATGGACGAAATAACAAATAGGGGACTAAATTGAGCAAAAACACAAAAATTTAAGACTAAATTGAGTAAAAATACAAAACTTTGGGACTATATTAAGCCACCAAAATCATTCCAGACAAAATTGAGAAAAACCACTATAGCCGAGGACAATTTTGGGTATTAACTCTTTGTATGCTCTAATGCTCCATCTTTGTATGCTCTAATGCTCCAATTCTCTGGTAATATGATTGCGGCTAAATTGAGGTCCACGTAACGGCATGCAGGTTCTCAGAGGTGGCTGTTATCCGGAGAATCATATGGTTTGATATTCGGGGCAAGATCGCAACTAAGATGCTCTCTGAAACCACAAATTACGCAGTTTATCTAGTGTTTAGATTCGCAGGCAGCGCCTACGGCCTTCAATCATCACGAGCGTTGGTTAGATTGGTTAGTCGAGAGAGCAACGAGGAGGATGCACAAAATGGAGCAGATAATCTGGTCAATCTATTTATCGGCGGCGTCCGGCGGCAAGAGAGAAGCGACGGATGGATGGAGGTGGAAATGGGTAGCTTTTACAACGACGCAGGAGACGACGGCGATGTGGAAGCGCAGTTCATTGAGTTGTGGCCCTTCAGGTGGGAGAGGGGTCTTATTGTTCAAGGTTTTGAGTTCCGCCCTAAATGACAAAACTCAATCGTTACGCTGTGGACACGGTTTTATGTTCATAATTACTGAACTATATTCTTATAATTATAAATTTATATATTCATAATTTTTGAACTTTATATTCATAATTATTGAACTCTATATTCATAATTACAGAACTCTATGTTCATAATTACTGAACTATATGTTCATAATTATAAAGCTATATGTTCATAATTTTTGAATTTCATATTTACAATTATTAAATCTCTATATTCATAATTACAGAACTATATGTTCGTAATTATGTTTGCAACTCTATGTTCATAATTATAGAACTATATGTTCATAATTTTTGAACTGTATATATTTATACTTATGAACAATTTTGAAACCGTGTCCAACTTGCAAGGTGAACACGGTTCCACTACAATTTTCCATTCAACACGCTCTTGGCTCTTGCTTAATATTCATTCTTCCAAAAGGCTGAACCCTAATCCTAAGGGTCCCTCACACCCCGACCCGAATATTCATTCTTCCAAAAGGAAAAACCCTAATCCTAAGGGTTAGGACCCCCACACGACAGAGCATTTGGGATAGAGGCTAAATTTGTGCACCTCCACACTGCTGCTGGTGAAACTCGATCCCGGGTCATTCTTCCAAAATTTTACTTTTGTAACCAGTTGAGCTGCCCATGCGTGTTCTTGCTTAATATTCATAACAAAAAAAAAATGTGGTAAATATTCATCTGGGTTTGTAAGTTTTGTATTTCTCGTTATCATTTGTCTGTTTGCATTGTGAAAATAGAGTATAAGTAGAATACTACCAAGTATTATAATATGGAGTATATTCTAAAATTTTACAGTAATGTTTATAATTTGGATAATTTAAAAATAAAGATTGAAAAAAATGTGTGATCTTTGGAATGATTGTGTTAAGAATAATGAATAATTAAAATAAGGGAAAACGGTATTTTTGACCCCTCAATTGTTTTACTTTTAAAAATTTAGCCCACGTCAATTGATTTGAACAAATCTAACCCTTTAATTGTTCATAATGTGGTACATTTGACCCCTCATATTATATAATTAGAATTTTTTTTTAATAATTTATATAATTTATTTATTCAAAATTTAAAATATTTTTTATTATAAACAAATACATAAATTAAAAAAATTAAAAAAAAAAAAAAAAGAACAGGCCACCAGACAATGGCTGTTTTCTTCACGAAGACGGTCGTGGCTGTCCTACGTCCTGCCACGGCTGTCTGTGAAGAAGACAACCACCGATTGTCCAGTGCGGACAGTCGGTGGCTGGTTTTTTTTTTTTTTTTTTTTTTTTTTTTTTTATAAATAAAGAATTGTTTATATTATGTATTTATTTATAATAAAAAATATTTTTAATTTTGAATAAATAAATTATATAAATTATTAAAAACAATTCTAATTCTAATCTAGTTGGAAGGACCACTAGATTGTGATTGTTCTTTTTACAATACTTTGATGGTTGTGATTGTGAATGTTACATTGTTAATGTGAACATCTTATGTTGGAACACATCTTTCGTTTTATCAGTGACCTTTATTCGTAATAGCAGTGTGCTTGGTTCTTAACATGCAACATACAATTTCATACAATTCTTTTCAACGTAGCAGTTTAATACAACTGTCTACAAATTAAAGATTACAATATTTGAACTAGATAAATGTTCCATTATTGACCAACTTACCATTCCATACATTGCATAATTGTTCAAAATAAAGGTAACAATGTTTGAACTAAAAACTTACAATAATTGTTGACCAACTTACCATTTCATAATATGAACTAAAAACTTACCATATTTGATCAATAGGAAAATTGCTAGCCTTTGTTTATCTCAAACTCCCACAATATATAGTTATATATAACTAAAACTATGAACACTACAACTACAATAGCAATACACTTGATCTATAACTTCACTTCTTTCCCCACACCATTTCAACAAGATCTTAGTTTCACTTGTAACTTTGTTATAGAATATTCTGTGTGATTGAGTATCCTATATTTTAGGAAACTAAAATATTAGCATACCATATCAGTTTAGATCCAGCTTGTATTTAAGGGGTAGTTGACTAACCCTAAAGAGACAGAGAAACAGGAAGGACTCTCTAGAGGTATTATCCTCTCTCTAGTATTCTAACATGGTATCGAGCCAGTAGAATATGTTGTTTTTTTCGGCGTCTCCGATCGTCACTACCGGTCCAGGGCCTCTTGCCGTCGTCCGGCGACCTTGCCTGGAAAGTTTCCCGGCGATCTGACCTGCGTGTGAGCCTCACGCGCCACCGTCGTCCGCTGCTTCCGTCCACACGCGCCGGCGCGTGCGCCATCTCCGGCGACCGGAAATCTTTTCGGCCGGTCTTCCCAGGGTCACCTGAGTTTGGGGGTCTCGATTCCGGGCTCAGTTTGGACCAGTTTCGCATCGGTATTTTCGGTTCTAAGGTCAGGTTGTTTCGTAACCCTTCGGCTCAGTTTTTTGCGTGATTTGTGATCTGTTTGGGGTCAAATATTTGTGGATGGCTGAGAATAGGTCTGTGGTTGTCACTGATATAGTTCCTGTTAGTTCTAAAATCACGGATTGTAAGCTTAATGACTCTAATTACTTGGAATGGATTCATGTCATTAAACTTTATCTTACTAGTTTGGATAAGAGTGACCACCTGTCCAAACCTTTGGCTAACCAAGACGCTACTTGGGTACGAGATGATGTCCGTTTGTTCCTACAAATCCGTAATTCCATTGATGAGGGTATTGTTGGGTTCATTAGTCATTGTGCCTCTGTTAAAGAGTTGATGGAGTATTTGGAATACTTGTACGCTGGGAAGGGGAATGTCACTTGTGTTTATGATGTTTGCAATCTTTTTTCCGTACTAAAAAACGTGATTTGTCTCTCCATGCATACTTTATGGAATTTAAGAAGACTCATGAGGCACTTAATCAGCTTATGCCATTCACTGCTGACATTAAAGAGCAGCAAACCCAACGTGAACATTTGGCTGTTCTGAGTTTTTTGACAGGTCTCCCTTCTGAGTATGACACGGAGAGGTCTACAATTTTTAGTAGCTCTGCAATCCCTTCTCTTGCTGATGTTTTCCCCCGTCTAAGTCGATCGGTGCAATCGCAACCAAATATGCTTGAGGCTGCCATCCCATCAAACAATGCTCTTGTTGGCCGTCATCCTCGCAGTGGGAATGGAAAAAATTCTCAGGGATACGCTTCTGGTGGTATTGTGTGTCATTATTGCCATAAGCCTAGACACATAAAAAGGGACTTTCGGAGATGGTTGAGGGAACGAGGAAATCCAACTGCTAATGTTGCATCCACAACTGAGGCGTCTTCCAAGATGGTCACTGTATCTGCTGATGAGTTTGCCGAGTTCTCTCAGTATCGAGAATCTTTAAAGCGTTCATCCTCCTCTCCAGTCACTACTATTGCTGACTCAGGTAATGCAACTACGTGCCTTCTCTCATCCTCCTCCAAGTGGGTTATAGACTAAGACTAGGGTGCCACGGATCATATGACAGGTAACTCTAGTTTGTTTTCCACGCTTTCTTCTCGCTCACATAATTCCCCCGTCACTTTAGCAGATGGTTCTACCTCCCATGTTCTTGGGTCCGGTACAATTACGCCCATCCCTTCGCTCCCCTTGTCCTCTGTCTTGCATCTACCCAACTTTTCGTTCAACTTAATTTCAGTCAGCCAGCTTACCCGTGCTTTAAACTGTCCTGTTACGTTTTTCCCTGATTATTGTCTGTTTCAGGATCTTTTGACGAAGAGGGTTATTGGTAAGGGGCGCGAGTCTGGGGGCCTCTATGTTCTTGACACCATGAGGCGAGAGCTTATTGCTTGTTCAGGTGCTGTCACTCAGTAGAAGCTCATTGTCGTTTGGGGCATCCTTCCCTTCCCTTGTTGAAGAAATTGTGTCCGCAGTTTTCAAGTTTGTCTTCTTTACATTGTGAGTCGTACAGTTGTCCAAGCACCATCCTGTGCCTTTGAGTCCTAGAGTTTACAAACGAGCGTCTGCTCTTTTTGAGTTAGTGCATTATGATATTTGGGGTCCGCGTTCTGTGACCTCTAAACTTGGTTTTAAGTATTTTGTTACGTTTGTTGATGATTTTTCTCGAATAACATGGTTATATCTAATGAAGTCTCGTTCTGAACTTTTTGAGGTGTTTTGTGGATTCTGTGTTGAAATTGAGACTTAATTTGGTGCTCCTATCAAAGTTTTACGTAGTGACAATGCAAAAGAATATTTTTCGTTCCCCTTTGTCTCTTATATGCATAATAAGGGTATGTTACATCAGTCCTCTTGTGTTGATACACCTTCCCAAAATGGGGTCGCTGAACGAAAAAATCGGCATCTACTTGAAACTGCAAGGGCCTTGATGTTTCAAATGTGGGTTCCCAAGCAGTTTTGGGGTGATGCCGTTTCCACAGCTTGTTTCTTGATCAATCGAATGCCCTCTGCGGTCTTGGGTGGGAAAACACCTTTCCATACTCTGTATCCTTCAAAGCCTATATTCCATATTGACCCGCGTATATTTGGCTGCGTGTGCTTTGTTCGGGATGTCCGTCCCCATGTCACCAAGTTAGATCCCAAGTCTTTGAAGTGTGTGTTTCTTAGATATTCCCGTGTGCAAAAAGGGTATAGGTGTTACTCTCCTGAGCTTGGTAGGTACCTTGTTTCCATTGATATTGTCTTTCATGAGGACGTCCCTTTCTTTCCTTCATCCCCAGATGCTGTTCGTAAGGGGGAGGGGGGGGGGGGATGATATATTGATATATACGGTAACGTCGTTTGTTCCTTCCCCTGTTCCTACCCCTCCTATCTTACAAGTGTATTCTTGTCGACCTCGACCTGACGCACTCGTACCGGCACCGCCTCCCATTCCAGACTCGGTACCGACTCTGTGCCCTGACGCCACCTCTGTGTCATTTGATCCAGTCTTACTTGATGAACGTCTGTTTGCCACCCGGAAAGGTAAATGTACCTGTACTTATCCTATATCCTCTATTGCATCATATGATAGGCTGT